AGTCTCTCCTGCAGATGCATGATGTTCTACACTGTGGCAGGTTCAGGACTTGAAACACTGCCTACAAAAGACTGTCTCAGCCTGCAAAAGGCCAAAACAGGGGCTGTCCCTCACACATCCTGCAAGTAAGTCTCCTGGGGCTTAAAGGCCATACTTATCTTTAAACAGAAAGATTTCTATGAAAAGGGGAAATGGAAAGAAGAATGGTTTGCCAAGTTCATAGGTTCCTTTAAGGAAGCCATTGCTTCTCCCTTTTTGAATCATATGTCACACTCCTAACCTTTGTCAAAAATGTATAAGGAGTATATTTTGATGAGGAGTTATCCATTGGCATGCCAGCTTTCAACACAGAGAAAAATTCTCTTCCTCTGAGACCACAATTTTAGAAATAATATGTCCACTAAAAACCTTCCCAAAAGTCTAAACTTTTTTTTGTGTTCATGGAGTCCACACAAGTCCACTTAAACTCCCTAAATTTGGTGGCCTGTTTGTCTTCCTTTGTGCCTCTATTCACAGTTGGGAGCAACCCTTTTTGTTATTCTTCACCATCTGTCACTTGAACAGTTAGATTAGAATCATCCTCCAAAAAGTCTTATCTTCAATCATACTTTCCTCTTGTGTCCTCTGGGTAGTCTTAAGGAGTTTGTCTCTTACCTATAGCTACTTAATATTTTGCTCTGTCAGACTGAATTTCCGGTTTCCTACCATTGCTGTCACTGACTCAGTTACGCTGCTGTTTCTAATGCTGGGAGTGGAGCTCTCTGGGCTTTCCTGGTGTTTTATATTCCAATCCTTCCCAAGGAAGTCTTTTACAAATACATCTTTTACCCTGGGTATCCTCATTCACAGCAGAACTGAACCAGAAATAGCAGTAGGATGAAATTTTTGTGGGGAAATCATTGGTACAGTCCCAGGCTGCATCGGGGATAGCCTCAAAGGAATGGCACTACACAAAAACATGCGTGGTGTGGGGCTGTAAAAAACCACTCTTTTTGCTTCTCTCTAAGAGAGAATAGAACAGCTCTGTCCCCACACGGAGAAGGTAAGTACTGCATCTTTAAGGTCTCAGCAGTGAGGTAAAGGAGAGGAACATATTGTCAGTGTTTATACCTTTCTTCTTTGTTGAATTTGGGATTGGCTTCAGAGATATCCAGGCTTTTACTGAACATTGTTTTACTATGGCAGGAACAAAGCGAGAAAAAAGAGTTACTACTGTGGACATTTTTATAAAAGAGAGTCACCTGAAGCAATGCTGGACACCCAGCCCCCCAACCCATCCTCCCCCTTTTAAGCAATGCTCTGAAATATCTTTCTTTTACTTTACAGCTACGGCTCACACCTACACAGTGCTGAAGTTCATTATCTTCTCCTGACTTCTGAGGTCTGAGATGACTTCCCCAATGCATACTTGTAAACCTTGCTCTCCTTTATCCAATTTAAAACCCAGGTACCATCTACTTTGTCACATTGTCCAGGGAAAACAGAACATGCCTGAAGGCATAAATTGTAAAGCACTCATTACTCAAAACTTTTCTAGAAGACCTCAAAACTAAGCACAATCTGGGAAAAGGTTAAAATCAGGCCATAGAGCCTCTTAGAGGAATGGTAATACATTTTGTATTCTAATTTGTAGGGTCCATTACCACTTAACTCCCAACTCTCTTTCCTGTACTCAGTGTACAGAGAAATGCCCTTCTTCATATTGGGTCTGAATCCCTGCAGCTTAGAAGCAAAATTCCCTGTGCTTTATTAAAAGGGCAGCTCTCTGCAATATGTTTCACTGGTAATCTGCTTCACTGTTACACAGAACACTGCTTCCTAATGTTAGCTGATCTTTCATGCAAGCTCTCCACTTCAACAACTAGAAGAAAATGAATAGTTAATGAAGCCCATTTTAGAATGGTTTTTGGACTCTCACAGCTGAAAATTTCTGGCATATCTCCAACAGATTCTAGCTCCCATGGAATTCTTCCTAGTCTGTGTGATTTTAGCACAAGGGACAAATTAGCTGGTGTTACGCTAAGCTCAGAAACCACCTCTTTTGACATTTCAATGAAATACCAGATAGTCTGAAAGGTGGGGACACCAGAACAGCAGAAGCAATTAAGATAGAATTACGAAGCCATTTAGTTGCCAACTAGCAGGGAAATCCAAGAATTAACAAAACTTAGTCACCAGTTTTAGAGCGGCTAAAGTTTGTGCATACTAACTTTGCCATATAGAAAGACCCAATGGAAAACACTTGGAGAGGTCAGCACAAGCATTTCGAGGAGCCCGCAAGCTCAACAAGTAGCCTTTGTGCTGAGTTCCCCTCGTCCATTATTCAAACCTAAGTCACTGAAGGACTATGTTTTTCACTTAATACTTTCTCAGCCTGTGGAGTTGAAGGCTGCCAAATTTCAGTGGAAAGGTATGCCCTAAACAAGCCAAGACCAGACCCTTGTAGGGCCCCCATATGATTACCAAAAGCACAGTTCATCACACAGGCATGTAAACCACAGGTTATACCATAAATCCTCTCTATGCAAGCAAACATCTGTTTACTACTGGGAAAGAGGACAGTAGGACAGAAGACACTTGGGTGTGTTTTGCCCACGAGTTAGATGTGTATCTTTGCCAGCTCAAGAAAGAAGCAATGGCTCTTTGTCTCTGGATGTTTACACAAGTCATCTGTGTCTAAACAGGAGACCTGTTTCCATAGTCCACCTTCCTAATACTGTAGGATAAAAGCACTGAATAGTCATCTCTTGAGACCAAATCATCTTAAAAAAGCATCCACCTCTGGGATCTAAACCCTCCTGCTGCAAAATCCATTGTCAGTGGGTCACTTCACGGAATATAGTATGAGACTAGCCATTAAAAATCCCCATTCGTGGTGGCAGGCACTTGTCATTTTATTACTGACTGTTCTGACAGATGGTGCCCCATCAGCAATGCATCGTCCCGAGACAATCCCCATGCAGTGGTGTTCGCTAATGAAGCCAGTTCATGTTATAAAAGACTGTGCTGCCAGCGACACAAAATGTGCTGTTGTCATCTGTGCATGTGGATGGTATGAATTATGGAAGCTCACACGTGGAGTAAAATAACATCGTCCCTTTAACCCCTTCAAAAACAAGCACTACCATGCCCATCATCATCCATCATGGTGTTATTACACCCCTTTTTCCATCCTTAATCACACCTTTATGTCCATTCCTGAGTTGTGGTATGCACTGCCCCATATCTCTTTGTGCCTGGCAGGTTTTGCTTCCTCCTTAAGCCACAGCCTTTCTTTATTGAGTTGTAGCCTGGATATGCCTCTGCTCTGAACTCAGCCCAGACCTTTTGACTTCAATTGTTTCCTCATGTGAAGAATTGAGAGAGACATATAAAAGTAAAAGAAATACTCTGGACTGCAAGACACAGCTTTGCCTCTTCAGGCTTTTGAATCCAAAGTCAAAGCTGAGAGAAAGCTGGAAGAAAAGGTTTCAGCTCTCAGAAAAGTTTGTGATAAATCCAATAGCCCCTGTTTGTTCCATCCTGTTGGACACCTCCTGTAAACAGATGCAGAATACTGCAACTCACAGGCATCCTTGGGGTGGGGAAAAGTGATTTGCCTCTGTCTGGCTCTGGTAGCTTCCTGACCCACACATCTACCGGGTACCAGATTAAACGCTGCAGGCTGAACAAGGAGTCAGTGTTGTGTTCACCCTTACTACTTTGAGGCCTATGAGGAACACAGAGCACACCCTGTCCTGAACACTTCCTTCCCCCAGACCTCATACCAAAGGCAATCACATATTCAAGACAGCTTTCCAACCTACACTACAATGAAAAATCTTTGTGGCAGTGTATCTCAAGGCCACATATCCAGTCTGAAATAAGTCCTAGCAGGTTCTGGAAATCACTGCTTTATTGTCACTGTAGATAGAACTGTAACATTTGCCAGCAAAACTTTTCAGCAATCCTAGGGGCCTCTGCAATATCTATGAAATTACTTCATGTTCTTCACCCAGTTCTCAGTCAGCAAAGGGGGCTTCTGGGCACAACAGGGTCTTTTTGAGCAGATCTTAGGAGATGAATGAAAAAAAAAGGCATGTCAAAGCTGAAATAGAAGTTACAGCATCATCATCATGATCCATATATGTAAAGTGTTCTTCTGTATTGATTGATTCATGCAAGTGTGAAAACAAATGCATGTACTTCTCTTAGGCTAGTCATAGGGACTGGGGAAGCAAGGTCCAAGGTTCATGTAAGTGAATTTCTACAGTTCACTTACTCTCCCAGAACTTGCTTTAAGGAGACACCATTTTCCTCTGCTGTTTCCCTGTAAGACTGACACTTTCTTTGATAGAAAACAGGTAAAATTATATATATTCCATCACTTTGCAGGCATGTGGTAATTTATGTGGGTCAGGTGCATGCTGGCTCTGACAGCACATTTTAGAGGCATTTGCAGATGTCTGGACAGGGTTTTTCAGATTCAAGCTGTTTTGATGACATGGAGGGTGGGGTTCATCTCATTTAACTTCAGGTGCCCAAAAGCTAGGAACCTAATCAAAGATAGTTACCTAGATTCCTATTGTAGGCTATGGAGACAGAGAAGAACAGGCAGAGAGTAATTTATCCTGTTTGACAGGACATATGTATCTAAGACCTTCCAAAGCCCTCATCTGTCCCCACTGCCTAATCAGCTCGTACTGCAAGCTTAGACTGAATGCCTATGTTCTCCATCCACAATTAAAAAGAGGTGAGATGAATCTTGCCCAGAGGACATGGTGGTTTCCTGAGGAATAGCTGCAAGCAAACAGAACCCTCGGGCCCCTGGCAGGACTCCTGGTCCTGTGTGCACAAGCGCAGCTGGCTGCCAGACCATGTTGCAAATGTGCTTGGAAGTTGTAATGAGTGCCGGTGCGAACAGAAAAGCTCCACAGCTTCTTTGTATGTATAACATAAAGGGGGGCGGGGGGGGAAGCAAACCCAGACAGGCAGCACTCCTGAGTAAAGCAGAGACCCACCTCTGTCCATGTTGTGCCATTTCAATAGCTCTGCGAGCAGGGACTGGGGAGCCGCCATCTGTCACACTGAGGACCTCCATCGACTTCCTTTCCGGCCGCCGCTTCCCATGCCTGTTCAGCATTGGGGAGTCCACACGCTTCCTGGGGGGATCTTTATGAAAAGAAAACGCTGTCAGCTGAATTTAACTGTGACTTACCTCACACAGGTTGGTTAAATCCTCTCTCAACAATTTCACTCTTGCACCTCCTCTACAGTGACAGATATCTTTATGAGGGAGATGAAGATTTGCAGTCTCTCCCTTCTTCCAAACTTGCAGGCATTAAGACCTAAGTTGCACTCTATCTACAGAGAGAAGGAGCACTGCCACTGCCCTGAATGTATGAGCACTGTAACATAAAGGCACAACTATACCATAGCTTGCAGAAATTAGCTTACAAAGCTGATAACAGTAATAACAAGATGATATAAGACGACAGAATGCACTATAGCACAAGCTGTTAGCCAGAGCTTGAGCCATCTAGGGATCCTGTGTATGCATTCAGGTTGCTAGAGCTTGCCTTCAATGTTCCTGCTAGCTAGATTAAATGTGACACAAGGACATGAGTACACTCTGAACTCAGAATTGCATTCTGTTCTGAAAACATATCCTTTTTTTGCATCTTTAAGATTAGATTTCAGGTTTTTCCCAGTGATTTATATTTTTCCTTCTTCAGCATCGCAAATTAAACATTCTTGTCTACCTGAGATGAATCTTCAATGAGAACCACTAAAATTTCTCTCAGAGCTTATCATACAGCTTTTACTACTATAGGAACCAAAATGCTTTACAGCTTTTATTGTGTAACAATTCTGTGAGGTATCAAAGTGCTACTTTAGCTTTGTGCAGTGAAAACTGAAGTATAAGAATGAGAGATTTAAAGGCATCATTCCTAAAGATTTTGACAAACATTTACTGAGGCTCTGAGGAGCACTTAAATTATTCTGAAAAGTCTTTAGATATCAAAATGCATTGCAGAAGGTGACTTGCCAAACAACATACACCTCCATGGTGAAGCAGGGAACCAAATGCAGACCTGCTGAGATGTTTTATTACTAACACCTCTCATGGCATCAAAAGAGTAAGAAGGAGCAAGGCAGAAAAAAATACAGAAGGATTTTCTCTTTTTTTTTGCTTGGGTTATTTAAGTTCCCTGCCTCTACTTATAGACACATCTTTAATTTTAGTAGAGAGTGACCACCTGTAAAAGAAGGGAACCTTCACTCCCACTGTTAGAAGGAAGCTCACAGTGGCCAGCCCTTAAGGGTGCTTCTTCTGCCAAGATTTCTTTGCAAAATCAGAAATACAATATTTGACAATTCTACCTCTACTGCCTAGTTCTTATTATCCTGCTCTCCTCACACATCTCCCATCTGCTTGTTTCTTCTTTCTATCATGTCATGTTTTTAGAACAAGATCTCTTTAAGGCAGAGCTTATTCTTGAAACAATAAGCATAAGCAAAGATGGCTCAAATGCAAATGGGTTAGTGATAACAACTGACCCCATTACTGTATAAACCAAGCATTCTTTGTATTAGCAGTAATAATGTTCCTGTTAAAAAATAATTGAGAAAAAAGTATAGTTGTATCTCACTCAATTTCAAAATAGCTCCAGTAATAAAGAGATAGCAGAAAATGGTAGGGGCAATGAACTCTAGATAGGAAAAATAAAGAGTGCATAAAGTTGACAAAAAAGCAAAGGGAAATAAACCAAATAAAACATTTATACTGTGCGACTTCAGCACACGTGTAAGTGGTCAAAAGCATGCTGGGGCAAGGTTTAGATATTTCAAACTCTTGCTTCTTCGAGCAAATTGAAAGTATAAGAATTCATGCCACAGAACACTGCTGGTACCAGGAGTGTGACTAGAGCTGAGTAGCACACATGTTAGGAGTATATATAACACAAAATCGATACAAGTTTTGCAGTGAGATTCAGACATTAGAAAGGAAGGTAAAAGAGTGCAGGGTAAAAGAAAGGAGGAAGAAGCCAGATGAAAAAAGCATCTAGTGTCAAAAGACTGGAGATGGATAAGTTCAAACTGCATCGATATTAGTTAACAAGGCATGAAAAACATTTTATGAATGTGTATTTTAAAAGGCAATTTGATCCAAGCATGTTCAAAACAGAAGACTTTAGCAAATGGAAATTCAGCTGAGTGACACTTACAAAAGTGACAGGCCAAACAGAAGGTGGACTTTAAAAGACAGTGAAGAAGAAATTTGAAGAGGCATTAGCTGAAGACTAATGATGGTGTTTTGTATAGCCATCTGAGAGAGAGAAAGCTCAAGAGAAGGACATTAGCCAGAGGGACCATGAGGGAATCAACAGAACAATTAAGGAGGAGAAGGATATCACTAACAAGCTAAATGTTTCTTTTATATCAGTCATTGCTTCTTAAGATGCTGGAAGATATTGATTTCCAATCTATACTTTGAACTATAAAAGAGAGAGTAAGCAGAAAGAGCAGATGGTGAAACACACCTATAAATTCAGGAACAGCAATTCACAAAAGTTGGATGGAAAATATATCCAGAAACTTGCATGAATTGAGCTTTTAATAAAGGTATTTGAAGCCTCTTTAAAATTTGCTACAATCCTACACCATACATAGTTGAGAGTAGCAAGTATTGTAAATACTTTTTAGAAGGGTCTGATTAAGAAATGACAGGGCATCATCACTGTCAAGTCGAAAGACACTAAAGAAATAGTTAAATAGACAGCCATCCTGCCATAATGACTAAAGTGGTGTCATACAAAAGCAGCAGAAGATTTTTCAGAAGTACAGAAATTAAAAATAGGAAAACCTCAAGTATTTGCCCTTTTCTTCTTGACTCTCTGGAAATGTTCCACGTGGTGAAAAAACATCAAGCTGTAGTCAAGATCTGTGATAGCACTGAGGTTGTAGTTTATTTCTCATCAGAAAAGTGAAGCCATTCCTAAGGATTTTTACAGAAGAATACAGAATCATATGGATAATGATCCAATTATAAATCCACCATCTCACAGAAGGTGGGAAATAAAGGTTCATCTTCTGAGTTTGGACAAGGCACCTATATTCTATATATCGCTTCTGGCCTAATCTCTTGTTCTCTGGTTTATTAAGAAACTTCAACCCACAAAAGCCTTTTCCTCAAGGAGACATTAGGTGACATTCATTTGTTTTACTGAGAAGTTTCTCATTCCTATGTCTTCAAGTAAAGAAAATGGAGTTGTACTTGAAAAATGTTGGAAGTGACCCTTCCCTGGCCCTTTGAAAAAACTTAATACAGCTGAAACAGCCGAAGAGGACACCAGAAGAGAGGTCAAGCCTGAGCTGGCCATATTTTCACCTGGATCCATTCTTTCTGAGACCTAATATGCCAAGAAATAGGAAAAAAGCAAAATACTCTCAAATGCTTTGTTGTTTTTTGGCAAGAGCTCGGACAATGCACAACTCTCATGAACATGATTTCTTCAAGCTGCTATTATTAAATCTGTTACTTTTTCTCTGCTTTTCTTTGGTTGTGCAAGGCCATTGCTAATGGCTAATGATGAGATATTAATCAGACACATGACTGCTCCTAATTAAACCTTGCCCCATGTTCTCAGAGATACTGCTGGGAACAGAGGATGCGGAAACCCCCTGTGGAAGAAGAAATACAATCTACAAACACTCAAAGAATAATGCTTAAATGTGCTGGTGAGGCACTATGATACATACAGAGTAGTGTTTCCCTCTTAGGAAACATTTTCACTCCTCATACAAAAGAGTGGAACATAGTAGTTCAAACCATGAAAATACTTTGGCATGTGGAAGAGAGATATATGATGTATTTAGGGCATAGCTACGTATTCCCTTACATGCTGGATATGGAGATTCTAGAGTCACCTTGCTTCTTTTCTTATGACAAAAGCATTTCTAAAACAAGATGATGCTGTCCTTACACGACAGGATAATCTGTTTGAGTCAAAAGCTGATTAGTAAAGTGCTAGATGACAAACTGCACTGAGCAAGGGGCTTTTGACCACAGGACCTGCAGCTGGCACATCCACCCATCTTCGTCAGGATTTCCGCTAACATGCTCTCTGTAGCTCCATAGAGGTAGGAGCTTAAAAATTGCTGTGTTAACTAAGAACTTTCATCTCCTCTCCCACAGAAGAGATTCCCCTGCAAAATTATAGGGCCTGGAGCCTGGAACTTGGATAAGGTAATAATTTAATGGAGCATTAACAAATTTACAGTGTAATATAGCATTGCCCTGTAGGATTGTAAGATTCCAGGCTTTCTAAGGAAAAAAAAGAGCACTTTATTTCTAGTCTTCAAAGTGCTGAAATACAATACCTGAAAATCACAACACTGCTATATAAAAATGCTATTTCAGATCATTGCTAGAAGTGACTAATCCTTTATTAAACTTTTGTCACTCTGCACAGCAAGAGTCACTTATATAGTTAGCTCCTTGGGAAGCATTTTTCCTGTTGATTAGTGAAGTCCTTGGTGATCAGCAGCACCCTAAAATACCAATGAATAAATGGAAATAGAGCGGTATCACAAGAGCTTTACAAGATATATAATCTTACTGCACGTTAAGCTTTGAAAATCTAAGTCTTTTTAAAAACATGGGAGTTTGATTCATGTACTATAAACAGCTAAATGATATTATTCATATTTTCAACAGTGTATGTATTCACTTACAGAAGAGAGAATGTGTACATGTGTAACTGCATAGGGATGCACTGCCACACAGTCTCACAAACTGAAGTCCATGAGCAGCATTTCTGCAATATTGCACATAGATTAGTAACTAGAAAATTCTGCCACTAGATTATACTGCTCCTAAACCGAATCTGTTTGTGTAGAGCCAGCTTGTGGGTTCATGGCATACTTTCTAAGGTCTCATTCAAGACCTACTTGGATGTTTCTGCACTGTGAGACACACATGTCCTGAGAAACAAAGCCTTTGAGTTTAACCATGAAACAGACATGCCTTCCCCAGGCTGAGGATTCTCACACCACTTCAGTGGGAATGTAACAGTGACGACAGACTTTGGGTTTATATTAAAATAAAGTAATTAAAAAAAAAAAAAAAAGGTGAAGAGGAACTAGTTGAGATGGATTCTTGGTGACTGAGGTAGTACCTATTTCATTTCTAGGAGGAAGATCCTCATCTTCATGACTAGGATACCTCTCCTTCCGGTCAAGCAGAAGAAAATAAATCATTTTTTCTTGGTTTTCCCTGGAAAAAAAAAAAAAAAAAGAAAACAAATCTTTAAATTTGGAAAGAAAAAAACGCCAACACGTAGAGAAACCCTTTTCATCAAATGAACAGTTACAGTTATTCTAAATAAGTTGGAAAAGGTCATGTACCTGCCAGCAAGATACACAACCCACAAAGCGTTTGAGACCCTTGCTGTCTCCAACAAGCAGTTAGTGAGGAAAGGAAATATGATTCCCATGTTACACACCAGAACAGAGGCACAGGACAGACGAGGTAATGTGTCCATGGGAAGTCCAAACCAATAGTGGCAGCAAGATGGGTCTGAGCCTCTAAATGTTCTTTCTACTATGTGTCCCTCTTAACGCCTCAGGAAATACACCAGCTCTTAGGCATAGGCTTCAAATAAATAAAAATTTGCCAACAAAGGCATATCCAACACACATAACAGCAACGATATCTCCCCATCTGGACTGTACAGCCCATCTTTTAATGAATTGACCTGGTCTGGTAGCAAGGGAAAAGACAGCACCATGTCTTCGTTGCTGGTCAGGCTGTGAGCTTCTGACCCGCGGAGGAAGACAGGCTCAGTGCTTGCTCCCGACACCTCAACAGCAAATGAGCAGCCAGAGGGTGAGAAGTTGCTACCAGTCACTCACAGAGAGAGACACCAGTTACAGCGCTCTCTACCTCTCCCCAGTTTTGTTAGCATCCCGGTCCCTGGACACCCAACTGATACGAAGACTGAGCAAGTGCTTACTCTTCCGACAACAAGTCCTGTAAGAGTTTATTTCGGTCGCGGAAGCAGCCTAACGAGTGCATGCTATCTAACACGTCTGGATCAATATCCTCCAAGGAAGGGAGAGAACGAATCTGCACCTTTCGAGGGATTGGTTGCTCTGGTTCTGGCTCATTCTTACCCCCTCTGCAGAGGAAAGAAGATGAGAGGGAGAAAGGGGGAGGGAAAGAAGGAGAGAAAAGAAACATGAGTCACAAATGAACCCATACTCTGAAACACAGCCTGCAGCAACAGATGGAAATAGCTTGCTAAATTCCCACTGAGAGACCAGAGCTCCCAACCAGACAGATACTCTTTTCAGAAGAAACCATTGTGAAGGCTAAGATTGACCAGCAGCTTATGGATTTGGCTCTCTAACGAGAAATGTCTACATTCAGTCAGGAAGGCAGTAGGAACTTCACTTACCAGTGCCCTCTTAACAGAAGCAGCTGTTCAGCATCCTAATGCCAAACATTTATAAAACCCTATGTGGTTTTAGAAATGCTGTCTCATCAGCAGGCCAGATCTCAGACTATCAGGCTGAAAAGTACAAGCTGAATGATTCTCTTTCAAAACAGAAGCTCTGAACAAACCATTTTCATAAATTCTGATTCCAACTGGCACTGCAGCAGTTAATGCTTCTAATGTGATTAAGAGATCTCAGTGTTCAGGTTCCCACTTGACACACTTTAAAGGGTTTTTGGGGAAACTAGGCTGCTTAATTACATGCCCAAATATGACAATCTCTGCTTCTCTTCAGACATGCAGATTTGAAAATTCTGGCTCGAGTGTGATGCCCAAGGTCAGTGGCAGACCTCAGAACACAACACTAGCGGTAGAAGATTTTACTCTTTCAAATGTAGTTAATGTAGGTTTTCTGCGCAATTATCTCATCCTATTCACTAGGCTCAGGAAATATTGATTATCCACTGCAATTAGAGGCCCTGACTGTAAGAAACAGGTCAAGGTGTCAGGGCATTATATCTGACTAATGAAATATATTGCAGACATTCTGAATTTCTTTGATTTTATTCTGAAAGGCAGTGAGCAATTTATGTAAACTCTATCCACCCAAAGAGGTAGGTTTGGTGGTGGTGGTGTTTTGGTCGGAGAAACAGTCTACCCTGAATCCTTGCTATTTCTCAATAGATGCTTTGTGCGATGTCGAAGTTTCCCTGCTCTGTGGGTGAGGTCCTGCCTTTCCTATAAGTGATTCAAATGTGTGAGTGCTGGGTTCAGGCTCCCACGTGGGAGACAGGAATCAGGAAGACTGAAACTGCATTTGCTGTTTACGGGACTGTGCTTGGACAGGAGATTCTTGGTTTTGATGCTGGAAGAAATAAGGTGGACATGACTTGCAAAGTTACTTGTACAGCTTGAAATCTTGATTCAGATGTGAGCTGTCCAAATATCTACACAGAAAAAGAACTTCCAATTTAAATGTCCCTAGTTTTTCTTGTGCAAGATAGAAAGCAATTCTGGTAGGATCATGCATGAGTTTGGGGTCTCAGCCAAAAAGAAAGCCAATACAGAATATTTCCTCCAAGAAGGCAATACTAAGTCATAGCAGCCAAGATAGGACAGTTACATGCTGGGGCAATCACAGGAGATTGCTGGGTGCTATTTGCATTTTATTTTAATGTAAGTTGAAATGCAGTTGTGAAGCATCTGCTCTGTTAACTGTTTATGGGACATCACTTGCAGAAAGACTGCTTGGAAATTTTCATTTTATCTTCTCTTGAAGCAGTGAAAATGTGCTCAGCCCTTCATGGATATACATCATGGAGTGAGACTGTGGTGTACATTACATGGGCCATGACAACATGGGGCAGATCCCACTTCTCTTACAATGGGCACTCAGACATATCAAGCTCAGTTTTATTCAGTTTCGGGGACTGGAAGCAGAATATACAGGACACAAAAAGAATCTGCTTCTTGGGATTCATTCTTGTGTACCAAACCACTAAAACACAGCTTCTGATGCTCCCTTTGAGTCTCGCAGAAGTGCTGGTGTCTTCTAAACTGCCACCATGGTCCTGAATCTAAGAGGTAAATTCAAAAATCCTTGTTCAACTAAAGAAATGTCTTATTCCTCTTAAGAGGTCACTACTCACTACTCCTCTTAGAATCAGGATCTAGCTCTCAGCAGGTAATAAGCAATGATTAGATCATAACTTTGCACTATTAAAGACAGTAATGACCTTGTCATTAAGATAAATTCTTGCAGGATTCACCTTTGAAAGCAGATGAGTGGTTTTGGTTTTCAGTGATCTACAATTCACTTCTGAAAAGTACTGACTTAATTAATCAATCATTATGTTACAAGCAGATGTCTTTAAGGTAATTTAAAGAGATTAAAAATAATTATTGTCTCTGAAAATTTCCAGAAAATCTGGGTTTCCTACTAGTCCACAGCAGAATAGAATTTGCAAGCTTCTTTTGTATCAATTGGCGTGGGAGCCATTTCTAGAGGACAGCACGGCTTTCCATCTTCTGTGCACTGAAAAGTAGCATTTCCTTATGCCCTGCACCTGGTCAGCCTCAGACATAGCCAGGAATTTTCACACGTCCTCATCAGGTACAAGTAAAATCTGCAAAGAGGCATCTCATCATTTGACAACGCAATTCAGTGCTTCAGGAAACAAAAATCACTGGGTCTGGGCTGTGATTGGCACGACTGTAATGCCTGTTCCATTCTCAGTCTAGCAGAGAGTGACAAATTTGTTGCATTTCAGCCCACACAGACATCAAACAATGTCACACGATGAAAGCTGCAAATCACATATATTTTTTTTAAAGGCTTGCATGAATGTGATTGCTGTTTTAAAACCCACCCACTTTTGTGAGGATCAGTGCATACAATGGCTGTGATTTCTGATGAGGGTGGACTTTCTCAGTCTCTCCATGAAATTCTCTCATGAATCTCACCGAGATGCCCATTTGCATCAGTGCAAAGCAAAGAAGAACCAGTACACTTTATCTTGTTTTAGTAAATGGGGTACCTTCACAATCAGGGCAATAACTCAGTGTTACAGGATATGTATTTACCGCAACAGCTAATTTTATTTGCCCTCTTTACCAAAAAAAAAATGTGAAAATAACTGCTGTTTATTTTCTGGATTATGATAACCTACGTTTGAGGTAAAAATAAATTATTTCAAATTATAAAGGCTTGAAAAACCTCACTGAATTAATTTTGGTGGGAGAGCAAGAAGAACTGGAGGTTGCTGATGAAAGGTTTTGCTTTGATTTCTTTTTCCTTTTTTAGGCTTGTGAATCATGATTTCAACTTTCAAGTCCTCTTTCTCTGTCTGCCTTAGTCTGCAATTAAATCTTTTCCTCAGTTTTACAGTAGCCTCAATATTTATTTGAAGAATTAAGTGAAATCACTTATATGTTCTGAGTACAACTTTCAGGTCAGTAACCCATATATGAAAAAGGATAAAGATTTTACATAGAATAGCAGATGAAATAAAGGAAAAAATTTAAGAGATGAGCAAAACAGTCATAGAATAAACCACTTACAACCCCCCTTCTCTGTCAGCATCAGTATTTCCAGGAAAAATGAATGCAAAGAGGCTATGAAACATTACCAGATGAAAGTAGCTGAGTTTTGGAGGTGGAAGGGTTATTCACTGACTAAAATTAGTCACAGGAGGTTAAACTCCTGAGGTCAATCCGTGCCCAGTATAGAGAAAATGAAAAAGAGACTCATTAAAAAAGCTATTTTGAGCAGAAACTTCTTTTTTTATGCAATCTAAAGAGACATGTGGAAGAGCTTTTCTGCACTCACTACACTGGGAGTCTAGGGGAGACCTGCTTTTGCAAAACTCAGTTTCTACTTCTGAAAACAGCCTCAGATGATATTTCCCTTGACACAGTTTACTGTGTCAATCATCAGAGATTCCGACCTTCATTGAGAAGTACATGAAAATGTTCAAATGCTTATGTCTGCAAAGGAAAAAAAATCTTCAAATTCTAAATATAGAATAAAGTAATGAAATAATACTGGCATAATTGTGCCTGGACCAAAAATCCTTCAATAAGTGAAAATTTCCAGGCAAAAATCTTGAGGAGGGCTAAAATAATAATATAAGTGATCAATAACTTTTCATTTTATTTCATATTCCAGTTCTGATTAAAGCACAGAGAGAGCCAGCTGATTTCACTCCAGCAAAAAAACAGAGGGGATCAGCTGTCCAGTCTGATGTAAACGACATTTACTTCTGGAATTGCTAGTAAAACATTACAGGAGAGATTTCACAGATTACAATTAGAGATTTAACCCCTCCATTTCTTCTACATTTCTCAATGAGAGTTTATAAAAAAAAGAAGTACCTGCTGCAAACAACACTTGTGCCCTTCTTTGGTTTAAAAGGGTGCCATGTCTGGTTACTGGAGAGAGCATGCAGAAGCCATGGGCAGAGTGCTGCCACCACTACAGGTGAACTACGTTTTTTCTCAGTTCAAATGTTTTAGCTATTCAAGAAACCATTGAAGGCCCTCATGTTCTATTAAAAATAAATCCAGAGGTGAATATTTTCCATAAGATAGAATTAGAGAAACCAAATTAAAAAAAAAAAAAAAAAGTGGTGTTTTTTTTTTTTTTCTTACTGGTGACAGGCTTATGTATCAGTTCATATCATCCTTGAGTATTTCTCTAGAGCAATGATGGGATTATGAAGGTAGGACTTCCCTTATCACCCGCTTGGGAAATGCTGACCCTGAGAAACATGTATCAAAGCATCATTTCCTTGTTTAATATGTGAAGTAGTATCTTTAGTTTGATTAGGTTATCATCAGTATAAAAACGTTATTTGCTTAGGTTTCTTGAAATACTATTAACGCTACACAGAGTGCAAGGTCACTTTTGAAAGCCATCGATCTTCCTTACACCCAAACCACTAGACAGGTGTGTACTTTTCTCACAGACCTCCTGTTTCACTGTCAGGACTGCTGCTTTTAATCAAGTCACAGAACTACTCTCACATCAACAGGTTACAAGGTCAGAAACAGCCTCTTGGCTTGCTATGAAGAAGGAGCAGGGATTATGAGACAGAAAAGCTCTTGCTCACAGGTGCTTACTTATCAATATCATCATTTTTGTTTCTGCTTCAGAGAAAAACCAAGATGCCAAGAAAGAACAAATGAAAGCTTTCTTGTCAAGAAGGTATTATAAGGGATTGTCTGTAGCACTTGGATAGCAAACTAAATATGGCTGCTAGTGGGTTGTTTTTTTTTTTTTTTTTTTGCTGATCACCTGCAGGTATCTCTTTAACACAGCAAGTTGCTGTGCTATTTGAAACAGTTGTTAGCCACTGTACAAAAAAAGTTCCTGGGTTGGTATATATAGAAGAAATTATATGAGTAGCAAAGGGTAAAAAAAAAAGTTAGATGTTTTTCTATCCTCTGCCCCTTTCCCCACCCAGGTGAAACCTGCTTTCAAACTCCAGTCTCACTCTTCAGAAATCATTTCAATAGCAGAACCGATAAGGAATGCATACAAAAATGAATTGAAAAAATGTTACTTACATATACCATATGTGTTTCTGAATATGTTCTAACTGTAAAGGAAAAGAAAACAAGGAATTAGTGCTGTAAAACAGAAAAGGTAACTCCACAAGACATCTTTACTCAAGTAAGTCCAACGTTTCAGAGACGGACCTGTGCATACAAGAGCTGCTTATACTCACCCATCCCACTGAAAATGAGACTATAATTCCAGACATAATGGATTAGTCAGGAGCAAATCCAAGGAAAATGCTAATTATGAGGCTTCACAGGCAAGTGTTTTGGCAATTTAAGATTTTCCCTTCCCTCTCTAACTTAACCAAGGCTAACAAACTGCTCCTTTCTGAATGTGAATAATTGCTAATTTTTTATACTTAAAGTTCATTTCTAGTTTCATTTTGGAGAAAAAGAGAAAGAAGAAGACAAGTTCAAACAGACAATGTGAATAAACAAAATGATTTGAGCACGTATGAGGAGACCTTTTGCCAGGACCCATTCTTGACTGGCTTCACATTTGCCATTAAAACCTTAGCACCAAGCAGACTAAGGCTCTGTGTCATTTACTGATCCCACACCTGAACACCAGTCTGCAAATTTATTTTACCTTCCTCTTTTGCACATGAGCATGTTACTGTGCAATGAAGGACTGATCAAAGCTGAACGGCGGCCTTGTCCACCTATGGAAGGCAGATCCCAGCAAACAAGATTCCAGTTACACGATGACTGTTTTCCCACAAGCATGGGGAAAAGAAAGCAACATGGTTTTTCCAAGAGAAACCCTTAACAGTAGAGAGAACAGGAGGTTCAGATGACATACTTACAGCAGAACATTCCTAAAATGTTGTGTTTTAATCACAATCACAGCAGAAAAGAACTTTTCATAGATGTCCAGGGATTATTTAAGTGGACAATATTTTTCATATTCATCACTATGAATTGTATGTGCAGGACAATATGTACATTCACTGCACACAGGCTTGCATTTGTGCAACATGCAGGTGAAAGGCAGGAGAGAAACTCAAGTGCTAACAGCTATCAGATGAAATCACAGACCCATTAAAATGGTCAGGAAGAATGGAGACAGCTGTCCTGCTCTTATTACATTTCCTTTTGAGAATAATGAGAATCAGAGAGGGAAAGAGGGGAAAAAAAAAAAAGAGGATGAGACAAACAAAAAAATGTTAGAGATACAAAGTAGATGTTTGCCACAGACAGCAAGGAATCAGAGCCCTGGTGCTATGGAACAAAAATTTCATGTCTGAGAAACCAGAAAGATGTGAGTTTGGCTCTAAGTTTTTTTAACTGAAAACAAAGCAACAGGGAATGCAGCTTAGGAAAGCATGATAGGAGGCTGGAGGGAGAGTATGAGACAAAACAGCCTCCTTTAAAACCTAGACTGTATCAGCACTGCAGTCAGAGGAGAAGTTGGCACTTGCATATCTAGCTGTCTGCTAACCAGCCCAGGTGCTGAGAGCACCAATTCCCCCCAGCACACACATCCAAGAGCCTCGGCAGACCTGCACAGCTCCCAGCTGTGGCCTCAGCTCTGTCACAGTAATTCCCTTCATCACGATTCCCCTTGCATTAGGTAGCCCTTTCATCCTGCACTATTAAGAGCAAGGTATCCCTCACACACTGCCATCTCCTGTCAAGATAAAGATATGCATTATGGGAGTTACCCTAAAAGCCTGGAGACACAGCCCTCTTACTCATTCATGGTTATTGGAAACAGAGGTACAACCATAGAACTTAAGAAGAGCCTTTCTGGTACAGTTTCCATGGGACAGGATTTCAGCATTGTCATTTATCAGGTCTATAGTACTGTGAGGATCTGCTAAGGAGCGTACTGTACCTCCTGTGCTTGGTAAACTGGCTTATGAGATGCACATCTACTTGTTATTTCCTATAAACCACATAGAGAGTTAGAGACATTAATGATTTCAGACAAGATGCAGATGATACAGCTACATGATGTCCAAGCCTCTTTCATGCTTGCTTCTCCTGCTGCATTTTCTGTCTCCATGGGTCACAGTGTTCTTGTGTGCCTGTGATATGTGGAAATGACATGCCAAAGCAGACAACAGCGCTTCACTTTCAGAGTCAGAGAGGGGGAATAAAAGAGGGTCACCAGTTCATGTCTTAGTCACAGAACCTCTGGGCTCCTTCAGAGAAGATCTTAGAGAAATCCCTTCTGGTCATCCCTGTTCATCAACCTCATTCAAGATACTGATCATAGCATTTTTCTGAACGAGAAGCCCTCTAGTACCTTGATATACATTTGAAGGTGTATGACAGCTGTTTGAAGGTGTATGGCTGCTGTTTACCGACATATCTGCCATTTAATCCACATCAAAAACGTTGCTGTGAAGTATGCTGGGATATCCCAGATATGAAAAGTATTCTACAAATCCATTTTCTATGCTGATTAAAATGTAATTGCATTGAAATGTTATTACAAGTGTGCTTGCTGCTGCCAACATTTTCACTACTGTTTTAAAGGTAATTAATTAATGCTTTGTTGCTTTTCATCTGCATTAAAGTGACAGGAGGGTTATGGGAGGGCGATTGGTTTTGACAAGGAGAAGTCTGTATGCCTTTTACTATGCAGTGCAGGGGAGGGAGATACACAGTGGGAGCTAATCTCACTCCTCCTGCCTTCATTTAAACACAATGTTCAAATGCATTTAAGTGACGAAGGCATTTAACAACCCTTCCCAGAGGGTTTTTCTTGCTGTTTGCACATGAGTTTGCCAAGTTTAATGCCATTTTATGGAAGTTGTTAAAACGCTGCTTCCTAATATCGCCTAGTCACTGCAGGCAATTGTCTCATGATGTCATCTCTGAAACAACAAAACATGCTTAGATCCACTGCACATGCACAGTCAGAGAAGAGATTGCTGCAAGCTAAAATGCTGTAATGGAAGGAGAGGGAGAATTCCTTTATCATGGTTTTATGTAAAAATACTTCCAAAATATATTAAACTTGTACACCGAACAGCCCCACTCACAGATGAAAGACCCATTGTGATACAGAGCTGTACAAGCTCATGAGAAAAAGAGGTCTCCTCCCACAAGGAGCTTACGTCTGAATTCTAAGGCAGGGAACAACAGATGGAGACAGACAGGCAGATGGAAAATAAGACAGCACTGTCTACATCCTCGGCACTGATCTCAGCAGAGCGGTTGCCAAGCTAAAAAGTTCTGACCTGAAGAAAACTTTTGAGAAAGTCTGTGGATATAAATGAGGGCTTCTGGGCTTGAACTCATGTCAAATTTCAGAATTCCCTGTCCAGAAAGGGAACAATCTCACACCCATCTGTGCCTCAAATCAACCCACATCTCAAATGAATCTTCTTCATTCAGAAGATCCTGTAGTTTCAGTTTTAAACCGACTGTAATGTCAAGATAGAGGCTTTTCCTGACCACAGGATTCAAGCTGGCACTGCAAACAGCACTGGCAAAACCATTATCTGTGTCAGCAGTAGCAGCTGTACTATAGCAGCCTCCAGGGACCTTGACAAGGGCAAGGATCACTGTCCTACCTGCACAGTGCATGAATAGATCCTTGGCAGCCAAAACCTTATAGCCTAAATACATCAACTAGACAATAATCTCCATTCTACAGCTTGTGAAGTGAGAGAATTTAAATGATGTGATAGGCACCTTACCATAAGGTGCCATAAGAAGGAATCAGTTGAGTTGTCCCTTGTTCATTTTTGTAACATTCTTTAGATGTTGTAGTCCATCACTGGCATATATTAGACCCAAGAAAAAATAAAATCAGAGAGCAGAGAGGAGATTCTGAAAATATGTGTAATACTCAGGGACAGGTATTTCAGACTATGGGGACACCCAACATGGAAGACAAGTCATTCTACTCTAGTTTAAAATGTCAACACTAGAACAGTAACAGCTTTATCAATTCTGCAGTATCTGCTCTGATCCACCTTGCTCTAGAGACAAAGTTTTGATAATGCTCATCCAACTGTAAAAGGAAAGTGGGCCAAAAGCTCCTTACTCTTTGTCCTTTGCTTTTGTGTTTCTCTAGAAGAAAATACTGGCTGAGAATGCGAATGGTTTCCACTGCAGGAGCTGTAACTCTCTGCTGTAGAGACGCTGAATCATTTGAAATCTCCAAGGAAAAAACCATTTGCTTTCTGAAGAGCACATAATTAAAAGAAAGCTCATCCTGCAGTACTTGAGGCACCCAGAGCACACCTTCCATAAGCCTTCTAAAACTTTATCACTCGTTCGCTTTTCCCTCCTGACACTATTCCTACGAGAAAGCTGTCCCACAACCCTGCTGATACAGCTAAAATGCTTCTTCTAGTTTCTAGCCTGCTTTCCTGTAAGGCTATTTGACATACATTTGGTTTCGTACCAGCATCTTCCTTTAGTTTAAATAATTCTTCTCTCCCTAGTAATTACCTCTGAGGAATATGCAGATGAGCGGTACAACCTTCCTTAGACATCATCAGACTAACTGAAGCCCTTTTCAGACAGGCTCTCTCAAATGCTGATCACCTTAGTACTCATTCATGGTTTGATTTCATCTTTCATAAGTATGGGTGGTCAGAAATACCATGACCAGCAGCTAGGATAAACTTTTGCATCTTAATGAAAGAAAAACATGGATTCTCTTATTTTAAAGCATGTTCAGTAAAACAGGCCCAGTAAATGAGAGGGGTCAAGGACGTTCCACCAACCATATTTGAGGCTATGTGATATATGGTGAGTGTGAACAATATTCCAGTAAGACATAACAAAGTCTTCTTTCCATAAATAAATCATATACAAAGAAAGGTAATGCCTAGTTCTTAAGGCTGGAAAGGGCCAGCAACAATAGTTCTGAGTACCCTCCCCTCCATTAATCTTCTCAAGCTCTAACACTGAGGTGAACGATGACAGTTAAACGTGAATCCTGGTTCTGTTTTTGTTGATCATTTTAACAGATGGACTGGGGAAGGTGTGGGTGTGCTGTGAAATGGCAATTACTGCAGGGAGGGAAATGCAGTTGGATGAAAAGGAAAAGAGATACAAATGGAAAAAAAAAGGAACAAAGCAGAGAGGGGATGTGAAAAATTAAAGACAAAAATTCTGGTGACCTTACATTTCACTGTATTTTCTGCTGAATTCACCAGTGAGATATTGAGCAAATGATCAGTAATGGTAACAGCTACATCTGTACTTATTGTACCCAAGCTGCGATTTTGCTCAGATCTTTTAATAAATATCAACTTGATTCAAGAAATGTATTTTCCAGGAATAGAGGCTTCCAAATAAACCCATATTAATACCCTTTTTTGCAGGACACAGCTAAAATAGAATTCAGATCTCTCCTCAGAACAAACTCTACATTCCCAGCTCCTGTGTGGCAAACAAAGAGCTCCCTTCTGCCTGGCAATCGAAGCAAGCGGCTCAATAACAGCACAGAGGTGTGACAGCAGCAGGGACAGCAAACTGAGAGACCCTCACATAATGAAAATAAGACTGCAGCTAATAACAAAGAGCTAACGTTTTTTTCCTCCCGGTTCTTGGCTCTTGAATATGTATTTATCAAATTCTTATTCATAATTCACTGGTTAGAGCTTTCCAATAACTATTAGATCTGGCATTTTTTCCTCCCCAAGGAAGTAAGAGGTTAATTTTCATCAAGAAAGGGAGGGGCGAAGGGTGTCACCCTGGGGCCTTGATTTACCTTAACTGCTTTCTCTCCTATATGTGTATGTTCTCTGATGTATTGCACAACTTAAAACATTTAGGGTCTGTCTGAATCTGAAGAGGGATCTAACATTTGATGATCTGCTTCCTAGTATACTTAGTTCATCAGAACTAATATCTTTGAGAAAAAAAGAACAATGACAAAACAGCAGAAAAACTGATATGTTTACAACATGGAAAGGACCCTAAGCTCGAGAGGGACGTGGTAAATTTCTTGGCCGTGAAGAACAGCTGTCTCATGTCTCAGGGTATAGCCCTAACCTCTGCAGTGTTCCTTCCATGAAAGTACTTGGGAAAAAGTAATTTCTTTCTTTAAAAACCCGGTTTACACTTAAAATTTTCCTATGCTTACTATCTTTTTTCAATCAGTGCTAATACTGCAAATGTGATGGCTACTGGGATTGCAAAAGTAGGGATACTAGTAATAACATGAAGAACTTTTCACCCGTGTCACCAAATAGAGCATGACCTGGTTTTGTAATGAATGAAAGAAAAGCCCAGCTGTCAGGTAATCCTGTAAAGAGTGTTGAGAAGGGAGTTTCAGTTCACTTCTTAGCAGACAGGTGTCTGCATCCCAAAAGCACCACCACAGCTGGCACAGACTGATGCTGTTGTTAGCAATCTCAGCAGAGAGGCTAACCTGTGATCTGAGAGTTTATTTATAAATATTTTAGCAGACTGAAGAACCAGGAGGAGTTTTAAATTTACATTTCTTTATACATACTCCCACTCAGAATCTGTGAGCTTAGTAAATCTGTATAAAATCATCACCACGGCCTGACAATAGGATTTACAAGGGCAATGTACCCATAAAGGCAGACGCCTCCACTGACAAGCAGGCAATCTTAGTTTCCAAAATTATTTTAATTGCTAATTTTTAAAATTCCCTAAAACATTAACACAGTGTTAATGAAGGATACAATCACTACACAGTCCTTGCCCTTGCAAGGTCTCTGCTGTAGTGATGTGATGTATCCTAAATGCAAACTTAGTGCTGAATGTCAGGAGCTCAACACTGTAGGCCTAATAGTGCCCAGAACCACAGGGCACAAGATGAAAGATCAGACAGGCAGACACTTGCTCTGAAGGCTGCTAGAGGACAATGCAGAGCAAATGCAGGATAGAATACAATGCAGCTTGCACAGCATGAGGTGAGAAGCCAATACTTCTGTCAGAAATGTAAGAAAATCATAGCCTGTTTACTAGCAAAACTTCAAATAACACTCCTAACAGTTGCGACCTTCAAACAGTTCTCTCACACTCCCAAGAAACTGCTGTACCACCCACAAGAACCAGACAACTCAGGTGGACTCCAAAATACGCTAAGGTGTCAGTAGCTCTGCGATGATGTTGTGAGGGATTTCTTCTAAATGCCCAGTGCTACATCTGGGAGGGATTTATGAGGCTAGAGAAAAAAACACAAAGGCAATCTGTCCTCATGACTCAAAAGAGAAGGTAACCAACTTTTTCCTAAAGACTCTAACAACTCTACTAACTCTTTGATCAGGAGGAAACTCACAAGAATGGCAGTAAATCAACAAGTTACCTTAGCTGTTCAACAAAAACTGCAACAAGATGAGAAATGAAGCCTTGCTCATACCATCAGCACCAAATACATCAAATACATTCTTACCGTGAGACGTTTCGAGGCATCCACTTCAATCATCCCCCGCAAAAGGTTCTGACAGTCAGGCGGGATAAAATGTGGCATGTGGAACACTCCACGTTTCACCTTCTCCAGCAGTTGCCGCAAGTTGTCATCATCGAAAGGCAGGGCACCCTGCAGGGATGTGACAGAGTGGTCAGTGGCAGAGAACTGGAGAGGGCCAAAGGAGGAAAACCAGAATAAACATAGTGAGAGAATGGAAGTAAGTCACCTCATAATGAATTACTGTAGTAAGTGAAAAAAACTTCTGTTGAAAATAAGTAATTTCTTAGTGCTGCTCTATTTCCTCTAACAAAGGAACAAAATTGAGGACAGAGTTTTTTATTATACCTTTAATTAGAAAATGACTACCAGTATAAAATAAAATACAAAATATGAAATTGCCTTTCCAGGCAAATTCACCAAAGATGCATGGATTCACTTAAATTCAGCTCAAGATTTTGATCTGCTGGTATTCCTCCTGGGTATACTTTCACAGCAGCAATGTTTATCATCTCCTTATTTTTAATCTTCCTGAGACACATTTATTGCAGACATGGAAAAGGAGGTGAAGAGCTTTTGAGAGACTTTCAGCAGAGAACATGCCCTTTCTGATGGAGCATTGAAATCACACAGCTGAAAGAAACCCCAACCAACATCAGCCTTTGGAAGCAGCAGATATTCTACCTGTTTAATATACTCCATCCAGTTCCCATGCTGTGGTCAGGTCATCAGTTCCTACTGCTTCCCTACTGTAGCTCACTTACATGAATGGCTTGAGGTTTTTTTAGCTGAAACTACACTGTGAATAGATCATCAGCTTGCCACAAAAAGCAGTAAAAGACCTATCCTTGCTGCAAGGACAAAAAGGAAAAAGAGAAGTTGAAATCTTTAGGATAACTCCACTGACTGAAGCTGATACCCTTTTATAGCAAGTCTGCACCTTCCTAGATATTCTCACTTCCTTCTTTCACTGCCTAATTCTAGTAGGTGCTGAGCTTCCTTGATTTCCAGGATGGTTTGTGGGAAGCTGCAAGTTGTCAGCTGCTGTGATAATGAAGCTTTAAGTTGTCAGTTCTGGCACTGCTCTTACTACAGTGAGTAGTGCATCTGTATAAGCAATCCTGTGTCTACAGTTTAGGGAGATCAACAGCTCCATTTACAGCAGCCTCAGGAAGTCACCTGATGGCAACCACTACTGGGCACTATTTACTAGTGTTTGTTCTTTCAAGTGGCCTTGAAGGGAGAGCCGCCCTGTTCTGCTGTAACCAACCTCCTGAGCTACCTATGCTTTTCCTAACCACTCCAGACTTAAAGGAAAATCAATTCTGATAGTTCAGTACTTTGGCTAATGCAATTTAAGCCATGATGAAGTCAGAAAGGATGCTTTGTGGCATTTCCTGAAGGTAACAACTACACCTTTTTTATTGCTACCATCTGCTGTTATATCTTGAGAATTTTGTAGGGTTTGTCCTGACATGATTAACTGGATAGCTCTGCACTCTCCATCAATAACAGACTTACTTCAATCATTTTTCAGGCTCATGTGTGTATGTAGGAGCAGATGAAGATGCAGCAATAGAGACACCAAACCTTGACAGAGAATCCCCCTGAAAATGAAAAGCCGACTCCTACAAATCCTAACCATCTTGACACATTCTCTCTTCTGTTCTTACAAATTCGAGAAGTTATATTAAGAGCTCATTATACAGTTTTATTTTATCAGTCATGAAAGTAGCTGCTCAGTAAGAGATGACCGGGTGCTGTCTAATGTGACAGTTAAAATTCTTCCCATGCAGCATCAAGATAAAAAATTTAAAACTTCAGAAATGTCAGTGAATTGTAATGACTAAAAAGAAAAAAAAAAGAGTAAGACTGGTTAAGGGGAATTAAAGCATCATACTGAGATTATTTCAAGGCATTTTGATTTAGGCCATTAAAAAAGAATTGGCATGTTTTTTGAACCAAAAATCTTAAAAAATTGTAAAGTATTTTAAACAAAAATAATACGCAGAATCTATCTCTGATTTTACACTGTACAAATGCTTTTGTCAAAATAAAACATTCAAATGAAGCAATAAGGTTTACTGATAAATGTACAAGAACATAAACATTTTACTTCAGGCTTGTTATTTTCAAAAGTATAGATGATCAGGTGAACTATTACAAATATAAAACACCTAACATGCACATAAAACCTATATTCATACAGAGTATTCTATCTGCATGTGGTATATGCTTTTATTAACATAAAATATATTTTATTATACTATGGAAATTGGTAACAAATGCCAAACCTATCTGCCTTCAGCTGGACATTCAGTTGTTGTATGTTTAGGAGTATTATAAAAGCACTGCAAATCAGAATAAATTACACAGAGAATTGAAACTTTGATCTAAAGAAGGATAAGTTACAAGATTCCACATTTTGAACACTAAAAGTATTACTGAGCCAGATGGAAACTAATTTAAACTCTGTACTACTGGCTCAGTTTTACATTCTCAAGTGTACTAAATTAAAATGTAGCTCTCTGCTTGCATGAAACAAAGCTGTGGCACTCAAAACTTCCCTTGGAAAAACGCTGCAGTTAATGTATGCATATACCTGAAACACATGTACACATACAGCAGAAAAAAAGAATGCAAACCCAGCCATATTTTGATCCCGTGAAGGACAATTTATTGGACACTCTCTGTACCCTGGAGTTGTAACTCTGTACATCCTTTCCAGACAAAAAAAGGTGCTGCAATATCACAACACAGCAAAGAGTATTTATGAAGACAAGTTTTTGATGCCTGTCTATGCTCTCCTGTGCAGGGCAGCAGCATTTCAAAGCAGCAGTGAAATACTCCTCATGCTTTTCCTTTGGGGCTGATGTAGAAATGAGAGGAAAGGATGCCTCTGAGAGATACAAAAATAGGGGAACTAAAAAAAACCACCTGTAAATGATGTCAATAGAATTGCCATTAAATACAGCAGCACTTTGAGATTTCTCTTTTCTTTTTAAAGGCTGGTGCAAGGAAGATGACTCACCACTAGCAACGCAAATAAAATGACTCCGCAGCTCCAGACGTCTGCTTTTCTTCCATCATATTTTTCTCCCTGTGCAGCAATGACACAGAGGTTCAAAAGACTGATCACTAATAAATGAATTAATTATCCTTGAAGAACAAGAGAGGGGAGACTGGGAAACCCCATATTTCAATTCAGCCACCTGCTTCCCAAGGCGGCCTTCCCAACTAGGAGGCCATTACACAGCTCGCTAATTGAATTTTTGTTAACAGTAGTTTACAGTCATATCTGGGATCTGTGGGAAAAGGCTCAGAATAGGGAGCAGGGCAGGAGCAGCTGACAACTCACAAATTATCCAACCTGACATTTTAACAGTGTCAGAGGTGCACTAAGGACATCAAGAAGATGTTTTTCTCTTCCCTGGTTCTTCAGGGAGCTTGTCACATTATTTGTGAACTCATAATATTGTCTGGACAGTCTCTTCTGCATGCTCCCTGCTTGACTTTACATTAAAGACAAGCTTAAGAAGAGGGCAATCTTGGCCACTGAAATCGTGGATACTTATTTTCAGAGGACAAAGGGAGAGTAGAGGGAAAGAATAGTTTGTATTGTGTAGTGGAAACCAGCATCACTGACAGTCGACCTCAGCTCTTCTACTGAAATGACAGCTACATCAGAGACAGGAAAGCAGAGGGGACTACATCCCTTGGGTCGAAAGATCAAATTAAAGGAGGCTCCTGCATTTCTGTCTGATCACATGGTACAAAGGGTAATGTGAGAACAACACACAATTATTTCCCTCATACAGTTAATGTGGCTTGATTCAGGGCTGAGCCAAAGAAACAGAACTGTAGTTACGCTCCTTGTGTCCTTCCCGTGCCGTCTGCCTTGGACGGATTTCTTGTATAGAGGGTCTATCTGCATACTTGCAATGAGTGACAGTTGAAAAAATATATTTATAAACACTAATGTGAACCAACTTACCCGGATGACTTCAGGACAAGCATAATGTGGTGATCTGAAATACAAAACACAGTCAAATGAGCGTGGTATTTATGGTTATGTGCATTTCCTTTTTTTTTTTAGCAGAGTCAAGAACGGCTTGCTTGTGCAGAACACAAGTATGCAAATCAGCATGCTTTCCTTACCTCAACAAGAACACATTTCTAACAAACTCAAAAGATGGTCAAGAACTAGAATAACTTAAAATTCTATGGCCCTGCTATGAATTTCCTTTAAGTGAGGAATGACAAGAAGACCAGGCATATTAGGTGACTTTTTAGAATTCCAGCCCTCTAATCCCACTCTTTAACTTGGCCTTGTATCTAATTAGAAGGAAGGTCCATGCTGCATGGTCTTTAATAGGAAAAAAGACAGAACAGTATTTTCAGACCAAACAGATGCATTTCTAAACCATGTCTTGTACTTCTTCTAAGATGACTGTTAGTTACTCCAGTGGTCACAAAAGCTGCCAATACATGATTTCAACATGTCTTTTTTTTTTTTTTTTTTTTCTGTTGTGTCTTTTAGAGAACTAAAAAGGATGGACAGTAGCACTATTACCTAGTGAGTTAATGTATTCTTTTCACATCCTTCTACCCATATATCTCTGATTTGATTCCTGGCTGAGAAGAGTTAATTACTTCAACTTGCCAGGTAATAATTTTAATTCTTGAAGATTACAGCCACGGCTATTTATTTTATAGCCTTCATTAAAGTAACTTGACAAGTAAAAGGGATGTAAACTGTCTGAAACCTGTGTGCAAATCATGCTATTGTTTATACTGACACCTCCCAGCAGTCCCTGAGCCTGTCTTCATTTGTATATGTGTTTCTTGTGACAAATGCAATCATGGCTGGGCAATACCTGTCTCACGAAGTAATGAGCAAAAGAGAAGCACAGCGAGGTTAGTTTTGTGCTAGGATGCTGTATTAATGCCCAGTGAGACAGCCCATTAATTCAACTTCCATACACTCTACACTTATCTTATGGTAAAACATGATCCCATGGGCATGGAATGCCCTGATTTGGTATCACAGCTTTTGGCAGAGCATGACAGTAAACTCAAGGTACACTTGGGACTGCAGCTACCTTGACAGCAAAGCTTAAGTGAGGAGAGAGAAAAGCAGTTGATCCCTCACATACTTTAGGAAAGGTGGAATTCAGAAGTTTAGTACAGTATTTAATACACTCCTCTTTCCCCAGCCTCCAGGTTCCCATTTAAGAGGTGGAGTATTCACAGGTATTCTAACCAGGCCTGTCTGCTCAGTAGGGTCTTAGTTTAGACTACATGTTAAAAACCTTGGTTTGAGAGTCAGAATAGACAATGAAAACCAGAGCCTTCCCTCAGAGTGGGTCATTGGGAGATCAGAAAGAATGGACTTGTGTCTAGTGGGTAGGACAGACTACATGGGCTGTCTTGGTAATTCTGTCATTGACAACCATGTGAGCATGACAAGGTCACTTAACATTTTTAAAAGCTGCAGCTGGCCACATTTTGAAAAAGGTGACCAGAACCTGACCATGAGTCTACTCTTCTGACTAAAGCAAGAGCAATGCCCCCACAGGTTTCACACCTCAAAAGAGTTTCTATTAATTCACTGGGATTTGTGTGAGGTTTTAACCATTTGAAGCAAAAACCTCCACAGTAACAGAGTGTGGCAGCAACAATAATGAAATAAAGCTAAAGCAGACAGTAATGATAATAAAATTGTTGCCTCTTGACAAAGAAGGGGCCAATTTAGGAGATTTGCAGCACACTGTCGGTCACTGCTAGAGAGAAAGTGAGGCCAGAGTGAGACTCTAAACTGCTTGATATTATGTACATTTCCCAAACCTCCAAAATATATTGTTTCCTGTGAGTTTGCTTCTTTATACAAACTGATAGCTGCTCTATACCTGTTCTTTTCTATACCCCGAAGTCTTCACCACAGTCACGTCACTGGACTAATGCATGATTTTGCAAGCTTTTAGAAGACAAAACATCCTTGTGAGAACGCTTGTATCATAAAGGTGGTGTACAGTGTACAGGCCATACTTAAGGGACACACAAATCAGGAGAAGCACCAGAACTGGGACTGCAGCTCAGGCTTGGACAAGAAGAGCCAACTGTCAGCAGTCCTGGACTGCTTAGACTGAACAGTGAAGGAGGGCAGTGTGGGAACTGTAGGGAACACAGCAATGCAACAATTATTTGGAAAAAACAACGTGGTAGCAAAAAGAATTCGGAACTTACACAGATCCATGATATTTGCTCAGTTTAGTCACCTCACAACAGAAAGGCCAGTTCTAGCGTTCTATATAACTCAGTCACATTAAGTTTATTGGAAAATGTATGGGAGGGGGCTAAGAGGAGCGAAGACACAATTTTGGTAACTGTTCAGCTCCTGTCACTTAGCAGGTCTGAGCTTCTCTTGAATGCATTTTGGCTTCTGTCAGGTACTGCTGCCTTTCCTCGTGAATCATGAAGAAATCATGAAGACACACAGTACATTAAATGGCCACTACAGGGGGTGCCTGTGGCTGAGCTAGAAACTTAAGCCAGACCTCTCAAATCCTGCATGGTATCCTGTACAGTTCAGCAACACCCTTCAGCACAATACTTTTTGGATGGCCATGGCACTGGAGTGCACTGGAAGAGTCAATATTCCAATGTGCAGAGTGTTCCTGTTTTTATTAGTATATTATGACTCTGAAAAAGACTTCAGAACTCTTAATTTTGGGTGCTGAGCAATGCAATCACCTGTGCTAACATCCTTGAAAAGAAGAATGTAAGTGCTGTGAATAATTCAAGATAGCTATATATGTATATATCAAGATAGGTATATATGTATGGAAATACGTATTATGTAAGGAAAAAGTTCTTAAAGCATTTACCTTCCTGAGGTCTGCTTAAGTGCAGTGGAATCTGCCATGTATCTTAAAAGACACCGCTGAAATTCTGCAAAAATTAGGGGACTGGGTGGAGAAACTGTTATAATAAATCCTTTGAAGAAGTTGGATTGATTCAATCATTCAACAACTGCACTGCAACTGCCCAGAGAGCACAGGTTTCTGGCATCGCCATTCTGAATTCTTGCCAGCACACACCAGCTAGATATCTGAGCATTATCTTGGCTAACAGCTTTAGAAGGGTTCTTCCAGTCAGTCAGAATCCAAAAAAACCTAATTTCCATGCTACCAATCACAGAGAACTTCAACTGCTGTAAAGACAAAACTCAAATTTAATCAAAAATCTATTTATCTTTCTACAGAGTCATGAATATTTCTTTGGCTCTTATTACTAATTATTCAGTATAGATATGTCAAGAGCAACATTCCCTGTCTCTTCCCCTAGGCCACCTCCTCATCATTCTGCTACATTTCTGTGCAGCAAAAGCCACAATCTGCCCTTGATAGCAAATAAGTATATTGCTCAGCAAGATCAAGAAACAGTTGTTGCCTGCAGGTACTGCTGCAAAAAAACCCCAACGATGTTGGCAGTGTTTATTTACAGGGTGATGTGGATTTTCCAAGGCTAGTCAGCCTGGGGCAGGAAGGGCTCTCTGAACGGTCATTCACAGCTGTGACTCTAGGACACAGTAATCTAAAGGATCTTGGGGGACTTTAGCAAAGCATTTACATGGGATTTAAACCAGAGGAAATAAGCCAAGAGTGGAATGGTGAAATCCAGGACAGCTCTGGCCAGTTAAGTCAGGGATTCAGAAAGAGACGATTTATCTATCCTGAATTTCATCGGAGAAACTAGAAAAGTAGTTCTTGATCTGTGCACATCAAGATATTGTGCAGCCACAGTAGATTGAGACAACCAGGGCCATATCTACAGTGCAGATATCTACATGTGCCTGTGAGTTACAGGTCTCATTATGTAGGTAAGAAAGCCCTGCAGTGTGCACACACAAATCCACTGCACCCACATAAATCAGCTGTGCACGTAAGCTTTATCTGGGAATACACAGTAACTGCTTTGCCAGAGAAGCAGTTTATTGATCAAGAAGGACAGGGAAAGCTGTGTGATCCTACTCCACAGTGTGACAAATCTTGTGTTACACTGCCTAATAGGTTCCCAAGTCCCATCAAAGATGTCCCATCAAAGGACCCATGCCTTGGTCCTTTGGTCCCATGCCTTAAGATGGTACTATGTGGGGAAGGAGAAAAGCTTCTTTGAGTGCCATTCTTTAGGCCCTGCAGATACAGGAAGAGTTTCTGCAGGGAGGGAGGAACAAGAAGTCTCCTTTCCTTTGTTTTTCTTACACATGAATTTACCTCGATACAGGAGGTTGTACAGCTGCACTGAAGTCCTCCCTGCTTCTAGCTGTTTTTGCTGTTGCTCAGTGCTAGATTCCTTCTTTCCCCCTGTTAACCATCTCCAAGCTGGCTTTCAGGGGCAGAATTTACCACTATAGCAAAAAGCAGCCTGTGCTTTCCCCCATGCTGGGTAGTAAAGGGTTGAGATGAAGGGGAACAGAAGAGGAGTAGCAAAATAGATAAAGGGAATTCAGGAGTAGGACACTGGCATTCCAAGTAGAGAAAGTGACAGTCATAGATTGCACAGAAAAGAAAGACAGACTGATGAAACAGTTCCAGAAGCAGTGGGTAGTTAAGGCTGCAGTGAAGGCAGTAGCTGTAGGTAAGGCTGTAATTAAGGTAGTGAAGGCTGAGTGCTATTTTGCCATTAAAGCTTCAACTCAGTCATTTAGCTTTATATTAGAAAACTCAGCATCTAGCCCTCAGCCTTTTTACAGCTGTTTACTCCCCGAGTGCAATTACATTTTGGGGAATCTGCAAATCAGTTCATTAATTGATGCATCAGTTCAAATTATTAAGACTTGGAACCTTTAAGAGATGGAGATTAAAAAAATCAACCAGACCTTTGCATTAAAAGGGCATAAAGATCTCAAAGTTAAGTATCCAGAACTTAGGAACTGCTGAAATAAAGGTTGAAAAGATTATCCTGTACTCTGCACGTAAGTCAGGTGGATCTTTCGCTGTGCCCAACGCCTCTGTTTTACTTCTGG